TTTTTTTAAATACTGATTTTTTTCTGCTATTTGAGTAAATTGTCCTTGCATTAAAAGTTTTTTTTATTCCCCTTGCAGGAAGAGTTTATCAGCTTGCTGGTGAAGATGTGAAATAATGTTTCTTTCCTAATTAAAATCCTTCATGTGGTCAAATCTATTTGTTCAGTTCCACAGGAACTAAGGAAAACTATAAATGCGTAATAAAAAAATTGTGTTATTGGAGTTCTTCAGTGGGGAACAAGTGAAATTTTTTGGCAATTAAATTGGTTTAAGGGTAGTTTATAGTTACTCATAAACTGTATAATTTATTGCATTTTACATTGTGATCAGCAGGGGTCACCATGGAGCTTTGACAGTTTTTTTTTACACTAATGTCTGAAAAAGCTTCATCTGAGCATCACTACTGAAAGCAGTAGAGTGATGTTTGGATCCACAACATGCTGATTTTCTTACCCTGAACTGCTGGTTCAGCACTGCCTCATATTCTGTCCAGATGGTACAAAGGTCAGTCAGCTGATTCTGGCTGGCATTGTCCAAGTAACGCTCCAGCTCCTGCAAAGCCAGCTCCGCCCCCTCATGAGACTGACATTTATCCACTGGCTGTGATGCTAGCAGATAAATGCCATCATCAACCCATTTAGATGCCTGGAGAGGAGAGCAGAGGAAGAGGAAATGATAAAAAAATATTATCAACATAATCAAAGACCGATGAGTTTTTGTGTCTTTTTACCTTCTCCAGTCGGTGGTGCAGCTCCATGGCTTTGAGCAGGTACTCCTTCTTGGCCTTCAGACTGCAGCTCACATGCTCACTGGTTTCTCTGAGCTCACTGCATTTGGGTTGAAKGGAGTCCTCGGCGTAGTGCGAGTTCTGGATCAGCTCCTCACCTTCACGACACAACGCAGAAGCTCTGTCCAGAACCTCCTGAAGGAAACAGTGGACATCGTTCAACAGCTAACATTCAAGCTGAATTATAACATTGTTTAAAACTAATCTTTATCAGTGCATTTAAATGTTTGCCTGTGGTGCAAACATTTAAATGCACTCTTTAAAGCAACCAGAACATTAGAAATTATTAGCATATTTACTTTAGTTTTGATGAGTGAATTATGATGCTTATCTTTAAACAAAGAGTAAACAAATCAACATTAGTTTTTAAAGTTATTTTGCTGCTATGCATTTATGAATGTCACATTTACGATTATCACATTTTATATGGCTGTCCCTGTCATTAAACAGTTCTATCTGATATTATTCACATGATTAAAATTATTAGATTTTATTTGGCAGGATACACAAAGTAAATTGTCTTTTTTAAATTTTATGCAAATTAAAGACTTAATGAATGTTTTAATCTTGTTTATTAAACAGACTTGTATTACCATTAGTGTTGTAGTCAAGACCACCTAACCCCCGAGACTAAGTCAAGACCAAGACCACAGTGTCTCGAGACCGAGACGAGACCAAGACTTTTAGGGTTTGGACCAAGTCGAGACCAAGACCAAGGGAGGGCGAGACCGAGACAAGACCAAGACCAGACAAAAAAAAATGTTTCCTAAAAGATGGAGTATTCTGTACACATGTACAGTGAGGGGAAAATAGTATTTGGTCTCTCATAGTTGAGGTCTAACTATGATGTCAATCACAGGCCTCTCTCATCTTTTTAAGTGATAAACTTGAACAATTGGTGACTGACTAAATACTTTTTTCCCCACTTTAGCTAACTTACTATATAAAGCTAATATTGACAAAATCTTATTGTGAGGGCGGAGGAAAGAATTTTGCTATAGAGGCGGAATGTTAACATTAGTGATGGTAAAAGTTTAAAGTTGTACCCACTGTCTCACTGCTGAATTTACAAGTTGCTGTACACTTTCTCCTGGTTGTTGTTGTTTTACAATGATATCATTTATGAATAATGTAGCCAAATTTTTTTACTTAAGATTTTGAAGACATCTTTTACCGCTCCCAGAGAACCACAGTTCACTTTCTGGGAGTGCTGCGTGTGAGTGACGGCTGGTACGGATGGGTGACAGCCGCTAACAAAAATACGTAAATAGCAACGAGTCAGGTCTGAATTTGAATCAGTAGCTACATTTTAAACCAAATGAAAGCAAAATTGTTAACAAATAACTTGGACAATAATCTGGCTATTTAGTGATATTTCTGCAGTTGTGGTCTTGACTGATCTTGAAATAAATTTCCGAGTCCTCAATGTCCGAGACTGAGACAAGACCGAGTACAAATGCTGTCGAATCTGAGACAAGACCAAGACCATCAAAAAGTGGTCTTGAGACCGGTCTTAAGACCAAGACCAGTTTCAAGTACTACAACACTAATTAACATGCAACGTTCCCATTAAAACAAGCAAACTGCAAAAACTGTCCATCTAACCAAGTCTTCTAATCTTTTATCCACTAAAAAAGTATTTTTGATCTTATTTTGTGACCAATAGACTAACCTTGAATTTTTTTCTTATTTCAAGAGCTGTTACCAATTGTCTTATTTCACTGGCAGATTATTTCACTTAATTAGAGAAGATTCAGACTTTAGTATTTTCATTTATTTCTACATAACTAATTTTTTTATATAAATGCCATTCAGTAACAGTAACTTTGTGTGTGTGGGGGGGTAGTTTGGGTAGATAAAGTGTTAAACTTTAGGAATCAGGGGACACTTACACAGATTCTCTCCTCAAAYGCGATGAGTTCGTAGAAGATGTGATCAGCATGAGCCGGGCTAATTCCAACCTCAGAGAAGGTTCCAAGTTTCTCAGACATTTGGTCCAGCAGAGCTTTCACCTGCAGCCAGAGGCACCAGTTTTAAAGTTGGCAGATTATTTTGGCGAAAGTCCAGGAAAATGAGATTTCATCCACAGTGCCGCTCCAGCTCACCTCCCTGTAGTTGTGCTCAAAGTGTCGCAGCTGGAGACACTGTTGCAGTTTGGTCTGATGTCTCACCCAGAACTCATCGAAAGCTCGTTCTGTTTCATCCAGCTGGGACAGAAGCCTGATGGGAAAACAATAACAAGGAAATAAGTTCAGGTAAAAAAAAAAAAAAGATAAAGATACGCAAGAATGCATTTCATTACTAAAAAATGTTAAAWATACAAATTATCTCTTGAGAATGAAAATTAAAACCAATGTGTGAATGTCTTTAACATCATTCTGGCCAGTCATTTAATACAATATGCTCTAAATTAATTGTTTCAAGTACTTTTAATCCAGAATGCAATGCAATTTTGTTCTTTAAAGTTTCATTAGAGTATTTATTTCAATATTTAGCTATAACTAATAAAGGTGATGACAAAAAAAGCAGGTTTTCACAAATCAGACGGTGATGCAATGACGTCAAACTGAACTGACATCAAGTGTTCAAATTTAGCTCCAGCATTCCTAAAGGTTATTATTTGATTATGAGAAGTAAATCATTCAATTGGAAATCAGCATACTGCTTTATTTTAAACAGCCTACAATATAAATTAAAATTGTTTATTTTCCCATAGGTATATGATATCAAAACATGTACTGCTTAAAATTGTTTTATGAGCATAACTTTTCCAACATGTGAACTGATTTCACCAAATTTGTGTTCACTTATTTGTATAAAGATTTGATCATATATTCATTCAGATAATTAGCCAAAATCTGTCCTGCTGTTGTGCTCGAGTTCATGTAACTAACCTTTGCACCGTGGCTAAGTTTTCCAGTTCGTCCTGGTTCATGTTGTGGTCTGGGTCTCTCATCACAGGTTCATTGATGCTCTCCAGCAGTCTGCTGCCTTGGCCCAAAGCCACCAGTATGTCCTCCTTTAAAAATAACCATAAACACATTTACAAATCCCAATAAATGAATTGTATTTGCACTATAAATACACAGAGCTGTAAGTGTGCATGTGTGTACTACAGGAATACCTTCATCTTGTCTCTCTTGCTGGTGTGTGTGCTCAGCAGTATAGTTGTGGTCTGGATGTCTTTTGGGAGTTCGGTTTCTGCCAGCTCGGTCCCAAACGACTGCAAGGTCTGTGCTGTTTTCTTCACCATCAATGCAAATCCTTCAATAGCCTAAAGAACACAAAGATAACAGATTTTTCCAGTGTTCCTCCTCATACAAACATAAAGAAACATTTAAAATGACTCAACCTTTGGATCCTTCATCATGTATTTTTTGAAACAGAACACACATGGTATCAAGATTATTTTTAACTTCTAAATTCTTTGTTTAAAGGCAGTTCACTTCTAGCCCAGCTTTTTGCACCGTTATAAGAAAGGCTGAGATGCAAACATACTGTACACACGAGGTTGGTGAGGCCRAAAAAAATTAGAAAGTGGTACTATAACTGAGTCTAGAAAAGTTCTGAAATGAGGAGTTTAAAGCCAGTTTGTCATAGAGTAGATTCTGAGACAATAGCAGTTATTAAAAGCAGCCATGTAAAGTGTCATTATGAAACTAAAGACAAATCTTTTAAAAACAGTTATGCCCATGAATTTTAAACTTCTAGTAGAGAAAATAAATGATGTAACAGATGGCACCACAAGGGGTCGCAACTTCCTTAGGCCAAGTTCCTATAAATAGGAAGTTGGCTGCGCTGTGGGGAAGTGCCAATTTTCTGTGGCTGTGTAACCAGGTATGTGTGGGTCCACGCGTTCCGTTGTTCGGCGATTGTGGTAGATTTGGAGGAAAACTGTTTTATTTGATTGTTTTAATAATTTAACGTGGTGATTTGTGTGGTGTTTTTATGCAGGGCCACACTTTTAGTGATGTTCCGAGTGTAGCATTGTCTGGGCGTGTGGCTGTTCGACGCTGCAGGTAGGCGTTAGATTTTTGTGTTAATTATATTGTGGTGTATGTTTTTGTTTTTTATATATTGTTTTGTTATTAGATAGAGCTACGTTCGATTCGTCGGAAAGTCAAGTGTTTTCATAAGTGTTGGCAGTTATGCAATGTTTTAATTTGTTTTAGAGTGATTTGATTAAAGTGTTTTCACAAGTGTTTTATAATTTTTGTATTTTTATTTTTATTTTTTACAGTTTTGCCACTGTCCTTTAGAGCGTTTTGTTTTTTGTTAGGTCCGCTCAGTTTTTGGATTGTGTTTTGTTTTCTTTTAGTATTTTGTTGGGGTGGACTAACAATTTTCTTTTGTTTGTCTTATGTTTTATTTCTTTGATCACTTCCCCATATAAACACTCCATATTGCTGTTAATCTGAAACATCTGAGACCCGATCCTGCTTGAAGTGTTACCTTGGGTGTATTGCATGTAGTATTTCTGCAGTGAACAGAGTCTGCAGTATAGTTTTGCAGTGAACATTGGTAGTCTTAAAGTTTTGCGGGTTCGACCGTCTGAGTGGTGTTAAAATCGGGTCGGAGGTTGTTGAGTTGACATCAGATAGTTGAGATTAATGGGAGTTCCCCTGTCTATGTATCAATAAATATTATTAATTGACTTTATTCTTGTGGTTGATTATTCTTCTGCTCCACTCGAGTCATAACAATGTGATAGTCTAGTTTGATAGTTTTGAATGATACTTGTGAGTATTTATGAAGATCATGAGTACATCAGTTATTTAGCTCTTTTTTTTAAAAATAAATCATAAATAATACAAGAGGTGATGTAAATACATATTTTATTGTTCGTCGTATTGTACTCAAGACATAGTGTGTGAGTGTGTATGTGTGTGTGAGTGTGTGTGTGTGTGTGTGTGTGTGTGTGTGTGTGTGTG